GAAAATGGCCACTTTGGAAGGTGGACTCTATGGCAGTGATGGCGAACCTTTTAGAGACCGAGTGCCCAAACTGCAACCCAAAACCCACTTATTTATTGCAAAGTGCCAACATGGCAAATTAACCTGAATACTGAGGTTTTACTTTAGAAAGAACAAATCATACATTAACTTAAGATGATCCAAACAAAGTAAGCAATCCCAAATGCTTTCATTTACTTAAAATTATTTGGCAGAGAATTCGACACTTTAATGATGGTCTGGGCCTGGCTGGGGCGATGGCACGTGTGCCCACAGAGAGGACTCTGAGTGCCACCTCTGGCACCCGTGCCATAGGTTCGCCACCACTGCTCTATGGCATTATACCCCATTGAAGTCCCTCCCCTTCCCAAGCCCTGCTGTCTTCAGGCTCTACCTCCAAAATCTCCAGGTATTTCCCAATCCGGAGCCCACTCTTTCAGAGAACCTTATGGTGGCAATGGTGAAAGCAACTATGAATAATCATTCGAAATCATCTGTCTACTTTGTGACACTAAAACTCATCTGTAATTGATATAAACCCATCCACATATGAGGTTGCAGAGGGGGCCTGGCTCTTTGACAGAGCATCTGTTTTGCATGCAGAAGGTTCAGTCCCTGGCATCTCCAGTTAGAAAGATCAAGTAGCAGGTTATGTGAAGGACCTCTTTGCCTCAGACTCTGGAGAGCTGCTGTACGACAAAGCAGACAATACTGGTCTTGATAGACCAATCGACTGCCTCAGTATAAAGCAGCTTTGTGAGTTCATGAGCCTTGCAAAGAAGCTGTTTGCACTTGGCACCGGCTTTAAAACACCTAGCGCCTTTATTGTCTAGCAGGCAATGAGATAGGACATCCATGTCTTTATTTTTGCAGATCATCAATGCTGCAACTGGGGAACTTGAATTGCTGATTTTATTTATTTTTTTAAAAAACCCTTAGCATCACTAAATAAGCTCCTTGTAAGTCCATTTGTAGTAAAAAGAACAGATCCATACAACAGCCTTGTTTCTAGTTTCCAGGAACTGCGCTGCTTTCAGCTAAGCTAGGGTTTTGTTTTGTTTCCCCTTGCTAATTCCTCAGTCAGATACAAGAAACATCAGGTACAATCATTTTCTTTATTACTTCTGCAACAAGTCAAATTCAATAAAATCCATATCCGTGCAGTCCAGAAATAAGCCTGCTGGTGTAATTTGTACCACATAATTATGCTATTGTCTCCCTGGTGTATTATTATCATTTATTATGACCAATGGGTTTTGCACCTTTTCTGAGCATACAAACTCCTTCATGTGTGTTATTTCAGTGATTGCAACAGCCCTGTAAAGTCAGTATTGTTCCCCCATATTTATATTTTTGTGTGTTCACATTATGTTTTATTTGTTTTAGATATGTTGTATCTATTTGTATTTTAAAAAATGCTTGTTAATGTCTGAAATGTTTTAATGTTAGCTGCCATGGGGACCCTGAATTGGGTGGAATGGCAGGATTGTAATGTTTAAATATATAAATAAAATATTGCAGATAGGAGTTGAGATTTGCCTAATACCAACTCAGCAAGTTTGTGGCTAATTGAAGGAGGAACTTCACAGTTCTTGACCTTTATACTATACACTCTCTCAGGCGTATTAAGGACATTATTTTTAATGCTGTTATATAAGGATTTTCAGCTAAGTTCTAATGGTGCATACCTCCTTAGGGCCAAGGTAGACAGTGACTCTTTTGGAAGCCAGAGCATTAGAGCTGAAAAAAAACCCTCTATGTCTTGTTGGGAGACTCATACATTTGACTTGCCCAAGGTGACTGGGACTGATTCTGTAAAAGCAGTTCTGCCCTCGGTCTCCCCAATTTCCACCATGTCTTCTTGATACTAAAAAATAAGGATCAAGAAGACGCGGGGGAAATCGGGGGGAGATGCCGGTCAAAATGCGGCTGCGCAGCAAATAGTGGGAAATTGAGCAGTACACCCGGGGGAAATCGGAGACCGAGGGCAGAAGAACTGCTTTTGCAGTCTAAAACCAAAACTCTTGTAATACTTTTAATCAAATCTGATTGAAATTATGCCAAATAATGTCAGTTTTAAAAACCAGTTCTGCAATACCTGAAGTTCAGTAAAATCCATGTTTGTTCAGTCTGTCTCTGTGTCATTTTGACTGGTCATGGCAATGTCTTTCTTTTTGTTTTAAAGACTAACAAAATATGTGGCGTGGTATGAGCTTTCATTAGTCACTGCACATTTCTTCAGATACAGCTAGACTTCTAGTCCCATTCTAGCTGCATCTGAATTAGTGATCAGAGACTCACAAAAGCTCATACCACGCCACATATTTTGTTAGTCTTTAAGGTGCTACTAGACTTGCTCTTTTCTACTGCTACAGACAGACTAACATGCCTACCCATCTTGATCTTTCTTATAGTTTGTTTGGATTTATTTTGGACCAGGGTGCCTGCTTACAACCTCTTTTATCTCCAGGATGAATCGTTCAGAAGCAGTTCTTTAGAATGTACCCCCAAAACAGGAGTTGGTTCTTTCAGGTTTTTCCCGTTATTTTTTTTCCTAAAGAGGGGAGGCTGTATCACACTCACTGCAGTGTAATACAGCTGGACCTCAGCAGCACCTCAATAGCATGGCTTTCCTTTGATGGTAGAGTCACAGCAGGAAACACAAAGATGTATGTGATCTCTTTGCATGTCTCAACCTCCCACAGCATTCAGTTTAACACAGGAGCTGAAGACAAGGGAAAGACTACTGCATCCTATTTTTTTTTTAAACTCGCCCTTGGATGTACAAAGATTGCATTGTGGGGAGGGGGGGATGAGATTAAAAAAACAATCTGGTGTTCTTCAAATAAATCAATGTAAGGAATTATATATGCTGATAGAATAGCACATTTCCCTTGACTTGAGGATTTAGTTATAACTGATCTAGACCGTGTGCTGACACTTTCACGTTCATGCTGTTTCAGTTTGCATTAAAACTCAACAGTTTCATTCAGAAGTAAGCATAATATGATTTACTTTGTTAACAGCCAGTTTCTGGTTTTGCATACTAATTTAACAAGCCACACACTACATATACAACTATGATCAGTAATTCTATTTCATTGTGTGACAAAGTGTGTGTGCACACGAAAGCTCACACCTTGAATAAAACTTTGTTGGTCTTAAAGGTGCTACTGGACTCTAGCTTTGTTCTTAGCCAGTTTCTGGGCCTGCATTGAACTGGCTGAGTGGCCTAAGACTGGGTGGTGGACTTTCAGTGCTGCCTCAAGAGGCCTTTTTGCTTTTGCAGATTACATATTCCAATATGGGATTGTCCATACTGCAACCTGTTGTGCCGTCATTGCATTCTGGGCCTGTTTAACCAGGGCAGTAATGCCACACTTGCATGTGTGTGCCTAGAGAGATGGAAAGAGTAAGGTTGTGCTTTTAACACCCCCCTTTTGCTGAAATATACTGGGTTCAGACACGTAGAGTGATTAGCTCATGTTTATTAAGTGGTTTCAGCTCCAAAACTAAGACAAACCTGCTTATAGTCATGAAACACACCACACCCAACACACACCCCACATCCCACGATAGGCTATTTACAGAGTATTGTTTCTCAATTGGCTACTATTAGGATCCGGGTCTATCTATTGGTTCATTCTAGGATCCAAGCCTTCTATTGTGATACGCTCCAAGCTACGCTAGTTCACATGTTCGCTTGCGAGCCCTTTCGCAAGTACGGTTCCATCACGATACATAACAGCAACCAATGGCATTTTTGCGCTAGTCAAAAGCTGTTTCATATGTCAAATAGACAAGCTGGAAGTAGGTTAAGAAACAGTTGCTGTATGCCATAGGATCAGATCCTGTTCCCTGAGCGTTACCAGCTGATCCTTGCTTCCTGTTGCAAATGCAAAGGCAAATAAAGTGTGTGTTTATGGGCAAGAGGAGGCCTTGCTGGAAGTTCAATTGGGTAGGTGATAATGGAGTTTATTCTCCATTAGAGGTTTATGCTTGAAAAATTATTTAGTTCTGTATCATAATTTTAGAAAGGGCAGGATTATTGTTTTCATTAAATGCCAGGAGTGTATTTATTGTATTGGAAAATCATGACATTTTCATTAATGTCAGATTTGATATCTGCCCATTATTTCCTAAAGGGAGAATGACATGTTTTCCAGAGCTGCTGTTGTTTTCATCAAATGGCTCTAAAATTTTAGCAAATTCTCCATCTTTACTAAAGACCCCACCCAAGTTTAATGTTAATTGGACAAAGGAATCTGATTTTACACCCCCCAAAAGGTGCCCCAGCCATTCTCTCCATTGTTCCCAATGGGTAAAAGGCAGGGAAATGGCCAGTTTGCCAAAACAGCTTTTCCCCCCATCAGTTCTGGATATTTATGATAGATAGGAAGCTTTTCACTGTGTCAGATGTTGCCTGTCTGATCTAATCACAGGAAAGTCAGATGACTTTTAGAGATGGCAGTGTTTGATTGCATACTCCTATTCTCCATTCCCTCATCATCATCTTCTTTTGTGTATCAAACTCCTAATAGATTTTCTGTCAGAGTTGGCAGCTTGGCCTTAATAGAGGCATGGTAGTTTGCAACATATTGACTGGAGATCTTTTTGAAATAGAGAAATCATTCTTTGCAAAGTCCTGTGGAGTGCAGCTCACCAGATGCAGATTCTTCAGTTTATTAGGTTTCCAAGAAGGTAACTCTCATATCCTGTCAACCTCATAGGAGAGGATAATCTCTTGCCTTGTTTTGTGTCATCCTTTCTTGTTAAACAGAGTCTGCATCTATGGTCTTTTCTCTGCTGGTCATTAGTTCCATTGTCCGTATGTTACCTCCCGCACAAGCCTTACAAAACTGGCTGCTTTGGGTGGGTGAGGGTCTTCTCAAGATTTTTAATCACTTAATCTTTCATTTCCCTTCATGCAGTCCATCACATTTAGCATCACCAATCATATAAACCCTGTGCAGGAAGGGAGAATGGGCTCAAGCATGCTGGCCGTGCCCCCTCCACCTCCAAGCAAATCATCTGCATGGCCAGAACGCATAGAGGAAGTGCCTGTGCGCACCAACTCTCCTCCCCCTGATCAGCAACATTTGGAATTCAGTGTTGCCAATAATGGGAAGTGAGTGTACACATGGGCACGTCCTCCACACATTCAAACTATGCATGACTCAGCAATTGCATGGAGGCAGGGGGCAGGCCCGGCATTCTTATGCCCACTTTCCCTCCCTGCATGGTGAATCAGTGTGCAGATGGGTCATCTACACAGAGCTAGTGTCTGTGTGAATCACTTGTACATTGCGCTGCCGAGACCCCAATGGGAAACCAACATACAACAAATACTGCGCACAGATAATGATAACATATCATCATATATAATGTTATATTTTTTGAAAAATATATCACAAGCACATCATCCAAAAATCTTTTGTAATACAGAATATTTTTATAGAAAGGATTTAAAAGGGGCCAGAATCCATTTTTCTTCGAAATCTGTCATAAACAAGTTGGCTATATCAGGGGCAATACCTTTTATTTGGAGATAGAATTGATCTTTATATCTAAAATAGTTCTTTTCCATTATTAGGTCAGCTAAATCCAAAAGAAAATAGTTAGGTGGTAATTCAACAGGTCGGGTTTCTAATACTTTCTCAATGACTGTCCTAGCTTCTAAGTTACTGTATTGAGACCCCAATGGGGACAGGAGATCCTCTGCCCCAAGCCCCCATTCCCTGCCGTTGCTCCAAACAACAATGGAAGGAAATCATTTTAAAACGGCAGTGTTGTCAGCATGATAAAAATCACTTCCGGGGAAAACTCGGAATCGTTGGTGCATTTTCCTGATGTCATCAGGCTAGTGGCATTGCCCTCCACTCTGTCCCCACTCTCAGCCTTCGCCAGTTGCCAGCCTCAGCCTGGCAACCTTACTTATACAGTTTCTACCATATAGGACTGCATTTTGAAGAAGGGGGGAAATGGCAATTTTTTTTGACCCTGCAGTGGAATTTATTTACGAAAACTGATAGCATAAATTCCCTTTAATAATGGGAGGGTTAAAAATAAATTCTGTGCCATGCCACAATAATCCAAATACTGTAGTAATAAATGTTTTATTTATACTCTGTGCAAGGGAACCCTTCATCTTATTTGACATAATTTAATTAGCTTCAAATAGTAGGAAAGGGCAAGGGGGTTGTTCTAGGCATTCACAATGTAATCCTAAACAGAGCTACAACCTTCAAGGGACTTAGAAAGGTGTCACCCAGTTTCAGATTGCCCCATGAAGCTCCTTCCCTGTCTACAGAAAACTAGTGTCAGGCAGACAACTTCCAAAACCTTCTGGAATAGTCCCATCTGAACCAATCTCAACCACGCTCAGTTCAAATTAAGGTCAAAGTGACTCATTTAAGTATGACTTCATTCAAATCTATGGTATTCCATGATGATCACTGGAGGATGAAAGGACATGGAAGCCTTTCCAGACCAGCTCCTGCTATGAGCCTGATCCTCTTTTGCAAATGTATCCTTATGGGTTGATATAACAGCATCAATAAAGCCTCCTAGCGCAAGAGACCTCTGGAAAGCCTGGAGTGTATAGTTCTAGCTGCTTCCCAGCCCACTCAGCTGAGGGCGCTGGGAGGAATGTATCCTAGGCATCACAGGGGCAATGGACACACACAAGCATGTTCATTGGAGTTTCTGCTACATTTCCTAGTTTATACTTGCAGTCTTCAAAATGTAGTTTCCAGTGCTTCCCAGCTCAAGCATTTGAAACTACATAAAGGTAAAGTATGCCATCAAGTCACGACTTACTCGTGGTGACCCCATCCCCCAGAGTGTCCCCCAAAGTCCCCCACTGCAGCCACAGCAAGACCTGGCAACCTTACTTTGTAGTCCGAACATCCGTTCTGATTCTGGGAGATCTCCAGGTCACACAGTATCAAGTCTCAGTACTAGAAATTTATTTTAAGTGGAATTACGATTCTTGGGATACTGAATTCTGCACAGAATTCCAAATTCTATATGCAGGTTTTGTGTTTACATAGAATTGTGGACTATATGAAGCCCAAGATTCAGGTTAAGAACATAAGAGAAGCCATGTTGGATCAGACCAGTGGCCCATCCAGTCCAACACTCTTTGTCCTTTACAGGTCTGCAGAATTCCCAGGGTGCCTAAGTCCACATCGATCGAGGCTCCCTGGCCAAAGTACATGGATCTCATGGGGAGGGACTCAGAGACAGTTTTTGGAGTACCATGGTAAGACAGTAGCATCTGGAAACCCTGTAACAGAGGTTTCCCGTGGGCCGGATCAATCTGGCCCGCAAGACCCTCGCTGTTTCCTGCTTCATTTTCCAGTTCTGCTGCTGCTGCCACATCCCAGCTTGTTTTACTAGTCTCTCTCAATCGCACAGGAGAGATAGATAGGCAAGCCTCTCCTGTGCAATTGAGAGAGGCTAGTACTGGCTGAGGCTTCTCCCCCTCCTCCTCCCAGGGGGAGGGAGGGTACAGCCAGAGCTTGCTTCCTGGCCAGGCTGCAGGAGACAAAGGGAAGCCTTTCTTTCCTTCCAATGGCTGAGGCTCCTCCCTGAAGGGAGGGAGGGAACAAGGGAGAGCTTGTTTTGCTGGGCTGCCTCAATTGCATGGGAGAAATACCAAGCACCTTTTTGGTTTTTGTTTGTTCAAGGTATGAGCTTTTGTGTGCCTTGCTACAGTGTGTGTGTGTGTTTTGCTGGGCTCTTTATGCCAGGGCTCTCCTGGGTGCAACTGGATTCCCTCCGCCTTTTCACTGTATTCATGCCCTCATGTTTGTGTCTTTCTCAGTATTTCTCAGTGTGGACTATTTTAGAGGAGGAATAACAACAAGCCAGTGAGGTGGATTAGGCTGAGTATGTGTTAAATAGACAAAATATTGCAAGAGTGTTAGTGTTTTAAGCGTATTTTATTTAAAATTTAAAAATCTTTAATTGTATTTCTCTGTGTCCTTTATAAAGTTTATATCTCCACTATTTGGCATTACATTTTATGACACGATGACCTGGCCCAACAAGGTCTCATTTATGTCAGATCCCGCCCTCGTAACAAATGAGTTCTATACGCTGTGGCTAATAGCCACTGATGGACCTCTGCTCCGTATGTTTATCCAATCCCCTCTTGAAGTTGTTTATGCTTGTAGTTGCTCCCCACTTCCTGCAGCAGTGAACTCCACATGTTATTTACTCTTTGGGTGAAGAAGTACTTCCTTTTATTTTATTTTATTTTATTTACATTGCATTTATATACCGTCCATGACCCCTAATGTGTCTCAGAGCGGTTTACAGTGTACTGCTACTGGTATAGTTGGAGTAGTTAACCTACCTAGGGCCACAGATTTTTTTTTTTAGGGGGGGGGACTTCCCTACTGACACCCTTGTTGGCGGCGCGTTCTCTCTTCTTTCCGGCGGGCTGCGGGGTATGCTGGCATCCTCGGCTGACCGGCACCACCTCAAGCGGCTCGATGTTTTTTCCTTCGTGTGCGACTGCCCTCTGGCTGCAGCTTCCGGCTTGCGTCCTTCCGGCTCCTGCCGTGCTGCGCCATCCTGCGCTTGCACCACCATGGCTCCGCCTTCGTCATCTGTTCTAAGCCTACTGATAATTAATTTCACTGAGTGCCCACCAGTTCTTGTATTGTGAGAAAAGGAGAAAAGTACTTCTTTCTCTACCTTCTCTATCCCATTCATAATTTCGTAAACTCTATCATGTCATGTCAGTAATCATTTCTCCAAGCTAAAGAGCCCTAACCGCTTTAACCTTTCTTCACAGGGAAGGTTTTCCATCCCCTTAATCATTTTGATTGCCCTTTTCTGTACCTTTTCCAATGTTATATCTTTTTTTGAATTATGGTGACCAGAACTGTATACAATATTCCACATGAGGCTGCACCATAGATTTATACAGGGGCATTATGATTCTGGCTGATTTGTTTTCTATTCCTTTTCTAATAATCCCCAGTATAGCATTTGCCATTTTTATTGCAGTTGCACATAATACGTGATTTTAACTAACCACACATTGATTGGGTTAGGTTACTTCTGCACATTATATTTGTTTATTTTCATTTTGGATACCTGAAATGTATCAGTACTGATCTTCCCCCCCCTTTTTCTTTCTCTTTCCAGCACCCAAAGACAATGAAGAACATGTCTTTAGGGAGCGGATGCGTCCCAGAAAGCGCCAGGGAGCAGTGCGGCGCAGGGTCCATCAGGTTAATGGGCACAAGTTTATGGCCACCTATCTTAGACAACCAACCTACTGTTCACACTGCCGGGACTTTATATGGTAAAACATTTATGTGCAGCCATTCCTTGTAACAGCTGGTTTATTGTGTGAGTGGGGGACGTTACAAACTGGGAGAGTCCTAGGGTCGCCATGGACAACACCAGGTCCATTGCTTGAGTAGAGGCGGCATCATCAGCATGGACATTGAAATCACCCAAGACTATCAGCCTAGGGTGTTCCATTGCCCTGCCTGATATGGCCTCCACCAGGGACGGTAGGCTGTTAGCCGGTGCGTTGGGTGGTCAATACACCATCCAAATCACCACACTCTCCCCAGCTTCCCACATTAGACCAGCACACTCTATGCTCATGATCCTCGGTGGTGGGAGCGCTCTGAAGGAGTAAGCCTCATGGATGAATAGAGCCACTCCTCTCCACCACCCCCTAGTCCATGATTGGTGAAGGACCGAGAACCCAGGGGGAGTTGACTGGGAGAGAGATACTGTCTCTCCCTCTCGCACCCAAATCTTGGTCATGCACACCAGGTCTGCATTCTGCTCCTGCAGAAAGTCCCGAAGGACCGTAGTCTTGTTGTTTATAGACCTGGCATTGCACAAAACCAATGTCGGATGGGGATCAATTATCCTAGCTCCACTGCCTGCTACCTTTGGGATGGGATGTAGACTGGAAGGGATGTAGACTGGAAGGGGACCAAGCGAAGTTAATTCTCCACCTCCTTCCCTTGACTCCATGTCTAGTCCCACTGCTATACTTTCCCCTCCCCAGGAGCACTTGAATCCTTTGTCTGGTTGTCATCCTGCCTGGTGATCTTTGCCAGCTGCGAACCAGCTGTGAGCCTCAGACCAACTTGGCGTCAAACCCACTGAGTAGTTCTTGAGAACAGGCGCTGGCTCCCTCTTATCCTAAATTTGATATAGCCCTGACAATTTAATCTAGAGGCCTGTGGCTGCCTATCTATCTATCTATCTATCTATCTATCTATCTATCTATCTATCTATCTATCTATCTATCTATCTATAGGCCAGTCAGTTAGCCAGTAATCTAAACTAATGATGATCCTTTAGATGGCTAGAATCATCTTATTAATTAATTGACATTAATTCAACAGTTACAGGGCATGTAACAAATCAATCCATAATCAATTGGGAAAATAGACACCTCATTCCATAATCAATTGGGAGATAAACAAAATACCAAATACATCAGATCAATTCAGTATTAACTAGGAATTCAACAACTAAACAATCCCCAATCAATTTATAATTTCTCAACCCTAACCCAATTAATTAAGTTAAAACTGGTGATTACCTATAATTGGCCGCATCTGCTGCCCGCAGATGAGTGGCTACACAGACAACCAAATCCTTCTTATTTCCTAAATGTGTGGAGAAAAGTTGAAAGAAAAAAATTATTGTACAAATATATGATGTAGAGATGAAAAGAATAGCTGTGTCAAACAGATTTCAGCAGAGGTGACTAAGGAGTACTCCAAATAGATAAAAATCAATGAAGAATAATCATGTGGCATTTCAGAAAATGCAGGAGAGCAAACAAGTAACAGAAAATTCAGCCCTGAGAATTTCATCTGTGTATCTACGGGAAGAATCTCCTTGAATAAATAAGAATGCCAACAGTGTGACCATCCAGATGGTGCATTTTCCCCCAGTCATTAACTGTCTCATTCTGCCATGTCAACTTGATGATGTAAAAATGCAGCCAATATTGCGTGCTCCATTCCTAATTTGCAATATATGTGTTCTTTTTTCACAGGGGAGTAATAGGAAAGCAGGGGTACCAATGTCAAGGTAAGGAGCTTGATTTACAAATTTTAATAGAATAGTAAAAGAACTAGCACATTTGAAGTTCATTGAGCCTTGAAAACAAAATCAATGATGTGCCTTAGAGAAAATCACTTCCAGACATATTTTTATAAGTATTCGGTAATTGTGTGTGCCTGTGGTTACAGAAATAAATTTGGAAATGTGTAGACAGTGACCCTGATCAAAGGATTCTGTTCTGCATGCAGAACAGCTGTTCTGTGCATACAGCTCTTGTGGGATCTCAGCAAAGAATTCACAACACCCTTCTATGTGCAAACAACCTACATGGAATTCTGCTGTGCGTGGGGAATAAAGGAATTCCATATAGAGTGATTATTGGGTAATCTGTATGTGCTTGATGTGGAAATAGGCCCAGTGACTGTATAGTGTGGGTAACCATCATACCCTCCTAGAGGACCTGTATGCATCATAATGCAGTGGCAGATGTATATCCCCAACAAAATGCCATATGCAGTAAATACAGGGCTCTGTTACCCATAGTAGTCATGAATCAAACATTGTATGTGGTGAAGATGGTCACAGGAACAATTATTTTAGTTTACTAAATCCTTCCATTTTTGATTATTAGTTTTTAAAGTCGAGTATTATGTACTCAACAATGAAATCAGTCTTTAAAACCTAATCATAAACAGGCATTAAAAACATTCTGCTTCAGTATTCTTCTCCACACACTCCCCAAAACTGAACTAGTCTAAGCGAAACAAAACAGTATCGTCAAGCAAGAAAACAGAGCTCAATGTCCACAGGTACAAAGATGTGTATATGCTGCATATAACAGGATGGAAAGTGCAAATGGAAAGATTAGCCAAAAAAAGGCAAATTTGCAGTGCTCTCCTGCTGTGGTCTTCCTGTGATTGAAAGCCAGTTCATTTAGCTAAGGAGCTGCTTTAGGACTCACCATATGGAGGATGTTCTGTGGTGAACCATGATGTTTGGTATACACAGACCGATTTCACACAAGAGCTGCGCTGTGGTCACGCCTCGCTTTGGCCCGCTTCTATTGGTCAATTTCCCACTCGAAGCCGCATGGCCGCATTTTGACCCGCAGCTTCGCCTGATTTTCCCTGTGGTTTCGTAATCCTCAAAAAACAGGATCACGAGGGGACTTCCGGTCTACGGAACAGCGATGGCGGACGCTCTCCCCACAACAGGGAAGAGCGAATCGCACACCAGTGGCCTGGAGGGGTGCCACCTCAAGTGACACCCCCGCGGAACCTTTGTGTTAGGCTCCAGACCAGGGGGCTTTTGAGGGGTAGCCTCTCCGACGGCGCAATGCTGGAGAATTGAGGCTTCCCTCCGCCCCAACGGTCCAGTCGCTGAGTGGCCTTCGGGCACAAGCTGGACTGACTGGGACGAGCGCCGGAGATCGAGCGGAATAGCGAACAACCGAGCACGGTCAGAAATTGACCGACAATGAACGTGAGTTCTGGAAAAACAGAGTAGTTTGAAAAGCGATTCCCCCCCCACGCGGCTGAAAAAGTGACTGCAAAGACACCTCTTATGCGAATGAGCTGTTAATGGACACGAAGGGGGAGAGGGGAGGAAGTAAACTGAAAGTGTTTTGAGAGACTTATCTGAATTGTGAAGTCGTTTGGCGAGTTTTCTGAGTTGCGTAGAAGCTGTAGAAACTGTAAACAAAACGGAAAAGATGGCGGCCCAGCAGGGAAAGTTTAAAATGAAGCTGGGCAGTCAGAGTCCAAAACCGGAAGAGGGAACAGATGTCATCAAACTCCTGGCAGATATGCTCAAGCCGGTGATGGAACAACTCAATGGTATTAACCAGCAATTGACCGTGATGAATATAAAGCAGCACAGCAGCTTCAGCTGAACGAAACAGAAAAAAGTGGAGGAGGCAAACGAGAAAATTAAAGAGATAGACACCCTAAGCAAGAAGTAGAAGAAAAGGATGGGAGAGGTGGAAACGAAGCAGAATTGCCAAGAGAATTGAGTTTTGCAGCTACAGATAGTAAAAGCTAACATGATTCTCAGGTTTCAGGGAGTTCCTGAAACAGATCAGGAAGACTTGAAGAAGGTGCTCAGTGAGATTATCGCTCCAGTAATGGGCTTAACAGCGGAAGAACAGTCCCGGAGGGTGTCATCTTTAAGATCAACGATAGAAGAGAGAAGATAGATTCCACTTTTAAAGCTAAAGAATTTTTGAAACCGTAATGAATAAACCGTAATGTCAGCTGGAGACAGATGATGAGTCCAAAGAGGGAGAATCGAAGTCTAGTGACTCTGCTACCTCGGGAACGGAAGAGGATTCTGTGGCAGAAAAGGGTGCAGGACCTGCCAGAGTGGTATACGATTTTAGAGACAGAAAGTCGAAGTAAAGGCAGAAGGACTTGGAAAAGTGACCTTTTGAAACGAAGAATAAGGAGATGATCAGAGACTTCTCTCATAACAACTAACAAAATAACATATAAATAGCAAATTGTTATAAGCAAGAACTCTACAAGTATATTGTGATACTAAAACTAATTGTACTAACATTTTTACTAACAGTGAAAAGATCTCCTCCTCTTGGGGTTTTAGTTTAGTGTGGTTTGCTTTCCTTAATCCTTAGTTTTAGCCCCTTCCCTAATATTTCTTTGTAGTTTGTAGTCTTTGCAAAATAAAAAATATCCCTTCGGGGATTTAAAAAAAAAAGAAAAGAATACTGGATGGGATCCCAAAGGACTATGAACAGAGTTTGCAGAAGGGATTTTTGCCAGTTCGAATCTTTCCACTGCAGCACTCAAAAGACTTTTCAGAACATCAGTAGATCCACCGACCGTGGCGCAGCTCTTGTGTGAAATCGGTCAGTCTCTGATTTTCACCATGACATCATGGCCTCCTCCAAACCCTGCCTTTTGATGGTGAAATGTAAGTCAGAGATTATGTAAGATGAATACTTCTAGATAAATCTGTAGTGTAGTAGGATTAGGATTTTGGCCAGTTGATCCACTCTGTGTTATTTAACTTCATCATATATTGTGAAATCTTTGATGAAATCCAGAATACTTTTGTAAAAGTGGCAGTTGACCATTTTTGTTACATTATAATTATAATTGTTAGCCGCCTTGAGCCAGCTATCTGGAAAGGCGGGATATAAATATAAACAATAAATAAATAAAATAAAATAAATTATAAGGGCCATTTGATAGCAACAGCAAAAATAGCAAACCATTCCTCTCATGCCCTGCAGGAGTCAGGGTTGTTCTCCTGCATGCATCCTTCATTTACAGCAGGCTCTTCCTCCTCTGCAACTCATTCCTAAAAGCATCTACCCTCTTCCTCCAAATTGAGTCATGTGGCCTAGGTTTTCCTTGTGGCCATGTGTTGTAACTTCAGGCATCTCTGAACAGGAACACAGAGCACCACAAAGTAGACACATGTGCTGTTATCACTGTGAAACAGGTCACAAGGGCCCAGATGTTCGGAGTGCCGCAGAATCCATTGCACTTGCTGTGTGAAGGGAGGACTTCTCTGTGTACTGGCATGATGCTTTCTAAAGCATTCTGGGAAAGACTGACCATAAAATTTCTGAAGGCCAGACTGGGCATGGCAACTGCACATTCATGTGTTCCATCACTGTTATATAGGAAATGGAGTGTGATGGTCTAGTTTAAAGAGTAGAAGGTGTGCATGGTTGAGGAGTGTCCTTAGACTCAAGGTCCACAGCCTCTCTCACAAGCAAACACTGATGTTTTTTACCTTTAGAATGCAAAGTAGCTGTCAATTAAGAAATGGGATGGACCTGATGAAACCCAGATCCTCCCCCTCAATGACCAGATAAACTCTGCTCAGAGTCAGCTCATAATCTACTAGGTTAGAAATACCCAACACCCTCCCCATGTTAAGGCGGGGTTCTGGAGCCACATACCCTGATATCTGAGAAGTTTAGGCTTTGAGGCTGAAAATAATTCTGGTGCTTGCTTGAGAGCAGCTATACTATAAAACGTTATGGGAAAAGGAATCAAACTGTAGGGACTTAAGCCAATTACAGCTGATCCTGAAAAATGGTCTAGTCTGCCACCTAAATTCTGCCTCAGATTCCACATTTATTTTTGGCCCCGAAACACAATTGTTTTTGTAATAAATCAGGAACAAATTTGAAAGATCTCCTCAAGTAGCAGTTTGAAAGTAGCCTGTCACTTTTCCTGGGGTGCACAAGATGAGAGCATTTGTATGACATACCTGTGGAATCTTGTGGCCTCTTTTTCTTATAACTGAAACTATAAACAGAAATTTTGAGTGTATTAAAATTTTGACTGTGTTTGACAAAGTCCAAATAATGGTGCATACCCTGTTGACCTTTTGTGCTGTAGGCCATATACTGGACTTCTCCATGTGCATTGGATCCCTGCAGTGCTTTTGACGAGGGCATTTGATAAAATCCTTTAAAGACCAACAATGTGTTGGCTCAGGTCAGGTAGTCCAGCTCTGGCCCACTGTACATCTTCATGAAAAGCTTGGCTTCAGTCTTTCAGACCCAAGGAAAATCCTCAAGAGCTTCCCTTTGATTTAAAATTAAGTCTTCCACTCTGGGTAAAATAATGAAATGGTCTTTGTGAAAACTTGGGCTGTCACGGCTTCTCTTGTTTACAGTTTGCACTTGCGTAGTCCACAAGCGATGCCATGAGCTTATAATAACGAAATGTGCCGGCCTGAAGAAACAGGAAGCCCACGATGAGGTAAATATTTATGAAAGAAATGGTCTAGATGAAAGGAAGTTGGAATTGGGGGAGGACCAAGTTACTGCCACTTACCCTGTTCCTTACAATACAAAAAACAGGGTTCCTTTGCATCCTTTCAGTCTCTGCTTAGTACCACATTCTCTTTTCATAACAGATTGTCATGATAGCTCTACTTGTATGGGAATTACTTGAGTCTCTGTGAGAAAGGAGGACTATAAATAAAGTAAATAAGTACAGCTAATCCTGGTATGGTAAAGCAGCAGCAATATAAGATCTGGATTCTGAGGATAAAATTAGGTTTTAAATGGACAGGGACATACACGAGTCTGCCTTATACTGAATCAGAAAACCAAAAAAGAAGGGGAACCAGCATACAAGAATAGGAACAAAGCACAAAAAACCACTGGCTGAAGATAAACAATATATATATATAACAAGTTCAGTAATTCAGAAATATAACTATATAAGGCCAAAGTGTTCCTGCAAGAAACAACAAATATACAGAAAGAAGAATTAAGTCCCAAACATTTCAATGTGTCTCACTCCAGTTGCATTGTAATATCATAGTCCAACTTGACGTGTATTCATCATGGAGTGGACTCATATAGTTCCTGGAATTCCATAAGCCATAGAGACGCGTAGTTCGGATGCAAGCTGCCGCGTTTTGAGTAGTTCTTTTTCAAAACCAATAGGCTATAGTGGGACCCAATCTCAGTAGAGGCACATACAAAAGCCAGTATATTCAATCAGAAAGGATCAGCAGGTAAAAAGGTTCAAGGAGAGAAAAAAATGAAGTAGCCCCTCTCCGGTTTGGTGTAGTGGCTAGGAGCACGGACTCTAATCTGGGAGAACCAGGTTTGATTCCCCACTCCTTCTCCACATACAGCTGCCGGTGTGACCTTGGGTCAGTTACAAGTTCTCTCAGAGCTGTTCTCTCAAGGGCAATTTTCCAGAGAGCTCTCTCAGCCCCACCTACCTCACAGGGTGTCTGTTGTGAGGAGGGGAAGGGAAGGGGATTGTAAGTCACTCTGAGACTCCTTCGGGTAGTGAAGGGCGGGGTATAAATCCAATCTCCTCCTCCTCCTCCTGTGCTGGTTGCCCTGTCACAGAACTATAAATAATGCATAATTCTGCCCTGTCAGGCTGAAATGTCTTCCCCTCAAGAAGATATCTTTATAGTGCCTTTGTAAAAGGTGCATAAATTTTGTCAACCCTGAATGGGAAGGGCATAGTGGGTACAACAGATGCTGTAAGCATCAACTCTGTGTAAGAGTTGTTCAGACAATGACTTGGATGCCATAATAAGTTTCAAGAAATGGAAGAGGTATTTTTTATCAGTTGCTCCCCTTCTGCTGCAGACCTGTGACACCCTCCTCCTTCTCCTGTTCCGGGGAACCCCTATCCCCCAGAAGCTGCATTTTGAGGAGTATGTCAGGCTGCAGTGGAAAGGAAGTCCCATTCCACTGACAGAAATGCTTTCCGTTAGTGAAAGTTTACGGCAGGATGGCATTGTGGAAAGAGCCCTATTAAGTGCGTGGACTCTAATCTGGGAGAACCAGGTTTGATTCCCCACTCCTCCACTTGCAGCTACTGGATGGCCTTGGGCAAGCCATAGCTCTGTCAGAGCAGTTTCTGTAAGAGCTCTCTCAGCTCCACCTACCTCACAGGTTGAATGTTGTGGGGAGGGGAAGGGAAAGGAGTTTGTAAGCCACTCTGAGACTCTGAGTGAAGGGTCGGGTATAAATCCAATCTCCTCCTCCTCCTCCTCTTCTTCTTTTGGAAGGTGTATGAGACGGTCTGCAGGCACAGATGGGTCATTCTTGTGAGAATACACTATGCAGGTTTCTGAGCAGATTCTAAATCCATGCAGTATATCCCAATCATAGATATAAAAATTATGAAGAAATGTTCATTTTTTTCCCTTAAATTATCTTTAGTGTTTCTTCAGTGGTGCATCTATATTGTAGAGAAATTGTTTTCTGAATTCACACTTTGAAGGGTGAGTTTGCAGGGTTAAACCAGCAGAGCTTATCTAAAACTAAAGTAGATTTTTTTTTATGGCTCTGCAAACTGGGCAGAATGGATAGGAATGTCAGTGCAACACTAGCATGCCATCATTACAGTCTTATTTCATATGAGGACTGTACTTTCATCCCCTGCATCATCCCCCTAAATCTTGCAAGCTAACACTTGTGATTCCAGGCTGTGATCTCCTGTGCCAGATAATGATCTACCAGCCTGTGCCATGCAGAGATATGGGAGTTCCTGTGTTGATTTACATTCTTGGGCTCCAGACTGCAGGAAACTTTAAGGCATTTCTGAGCCAGTGCTCTCATTGTTCAGGCAGTTTGAAGCTCCTGGATAAAAGCCAGGGATGGGAGGATGGCGAGGAAAAAATATTTCATATCTCCCTCTGCAGAGGGCACGTTTTAAAACAACCAGTTGGTTATTTATTTTATTTATTTTATTTTCATTTTATTTTTTTGGATTTATATCCCGCCCTCCCCGAAGGCTCAGGGCGGCTAACAACGAGGCACAAGTGCCAGAATTAAAACAGATAAAACAGTCTAAAACAGTAAAACAATATAATACAACAACAAAGTGTCAGTGCAAGATGGGGTAGATCTTAGTCGATTGGCATTGGTCCCGCAACTTGTCATCCCCTCTCCTTCCAGGGTCACCTCGCACCCAGATGGAACCACATATTGGTGGTAGTGGTGCGATGCTGCATACATATCGGTGGTGAAATTATAGTGGCGGCGGCTCCTAACTCGAAAGCCTGGCGGAAGAGCTCCATCTTACAGGCCCTGCGGAACTGAGAAAGGTCCCGCAGGGCCCGGATCTCCTCCAGGAGCTCCTTCCACCAGGTAGGAGCCGCCACCGAGAATGCCCTGGCTCTAGTAACAGCAAATTTAACATCCCTGGGGCCTGAAATTTCCAGGAGATGTTGACTCCCTGACCATAGTGCCCTTGGGGGAACATATGGGGAAAGGCAGTCCCTTAGGTAAGCTGGACCCTGGCCATAAAGGGCTTTAAAGGTAAGAACCAGCACTTTGAAGTGGATCCGGTACGCTATTGGTAGCCAGTGCAGCGCTTTCAGCACAGGCCGAATGTGATCCCTCCTAGAGAGACCCATCAACAGCCTGGCTGCAGCATTCTGCACTAGCTGCAGCTTCCGGATCTGCAACAAAGGCAGCCCCAAGTAGAGAGCATTACAGTAGTCTAACCTTGAGGTCACCGTCGCATGGATCACTGTGGCCAGGTCAACGCGGTCAAGGAAGGGGACCAACTGCCAAGCCAGCCGAAGATGATAAAAGGCCGACTTGGCAGTGGCTGCCACCTGGGCTTCCATCGTTAGAGAGGAGTCCAGGAGCACACCCAAACTCCTAGCCTCCGACACTGGCACCAAAGGCACCCCATCGAAGGTCGGGAGCGGGACCCCCAACCCTAAACCGGTCCGACTCTGGCCCAGGACCTCCGTCTTTGCCAGGTTTAGTTTCAACCGGCTCAGTCTGAGTCATCCAGCCACAGCCTGTAACGCCCAATGTATGTCATCTGGGGCAGAGTTCGACTGGCCGCCTAACATCAGATAGAGCTGGGTGTCATCCGCATATTGATGACACCCAAGCCCACAACTCCAGGCAATCTGGGCAAGGGGGTGCATGTAGATGTTAAACAACATCGGGGACAGCACAGCCCCCTGTGGCACCCAACACTCAAGGGGGTGTCTCCGGGACCACTGGTCCCCCTTTGTCCACGACCTTGGAGAAAGGAGGCAAACCATTGAAGGGCAAGCCCCTGAATCCCCACATCGGCGAGACGGTGGGTCAGCAACTGGTGGTCGACTATGTCGAATGCAGCCGACAGATCTAGCAACACCAGTGCTGCCACACCACCCCAATCCAGATGCCTGTGGAGATCGTCAGTCAGGGCGACCAGCACCATCTCTGTCCCATGACCCGGGCAGAAGCCGGACTGGAAGGGATCGAGGACAGAAGCATTATCCAGAAAGCCCTGTAGCTTTTTGCAAATGTGATTCAACTAGGATAAAGGTTTTAGAACTATATTTAAACTGGAGGATCCTTGGAAACTTACAAGGAGTCAGTGAAAAGATCCATGATGCCAGACAGAAGTTCCCTGAAAGACTGCTTGCCCACCACTGCCCCTTCAGGGTGCAGCCAGCATCAGGTGTGTTCTAGAATGTATTCTCGGGTCACGCGGAATGAGAGTGAGGTGCAACAGGTCTAGCCTTGGAAATTCCTCCGCAATATGCCGTGGCAGATCTAATGGGGTCCTTGACAGGCAGATGAATGTGGAAGGTGCTCTCCTTGAAGAATCACAAGATTCAAGTCCCATGGCACCTTAGAGACCAACAAGGTTTCCATGGTGTCAACTCTTGAGAGTCAAAGCTCCCTTCACTGATTCCTTGGAAATTTTATTGGTCTTTAAGGTGCTGTTGGACTTAAATCTTACTCTTCTACTGCAGACCAACATGGCTACTTTCAAGCCCCCAGCCACTTGACTAAGCATATAGTCCTAAGTGAGGCTTCAGGGCTACCACCAGTGTTCCCTCTCAGCTGTGCGCATGAACAACCACTCATTAACACAGGAAGCCCCGCTCAGCAGCAATCCGGAGCTGCTCAGGGTCTTGCACTGCCCATTGCCCATTTTAAGATTACAGCAGTTATATTCTGTTCAGGATGTGAACTGCTTCACTCAATGGGGGGGAGGGTTAGAGGAAACATTGGCTACCTTTGGGATTATTTTGTAATATCTGCACGCTAAGTCTGCCAGTTGCACAATACTCCTATTTTTTAAAAACAACAACAACAGAGGTGCTGAACTCAAGCCGGCTGAGGAGCCACACCCTATAACCGAGAAGCTGTGCTCTAACCCCATTTATCATCTGCAAAGATTATGTTAAATAGTTCGAAGTAAACTACAAGCAGTCGAATTTTTTATTGTGCAGTTTTTCTTGGACTATATCACTGCAGGGGAGGGATCGTATATTTGAAATGTTTACCCACGGGCAAAATAACTCCCTAAATGCAGAAAAGGACCGTATCAGAGACCCAAGCTCTTGGTTAACCTTCACCCTGTTGTGGTGGTATAACAATTAAGAATTCTTTTTCTGACCATTCCCTTGCTGCCCTGTCCATCATCGAGCCTATTCCCTGACTGATCCCAGACCTGGTCCTATGCTTTGAGGGGATTTTTTTCTTTGGGGTTATTGGTTTTGATAAGTGTTGCGGGGGGGGATTGCTTTTTGTAGGGGGTAAAGTGTATTTATGACTGGCTTCATTGTTGTTTTTATGTTTACAGTTGTAAGCTGCCTTGAGCCTGTTCTTTTGAGGAAAAGCAGAATATAAATATTTTAAATAAAATAATACTCTTCCAAAGGCTGGAGGTTGTGTAAGTAATTCTAGATCCTTGAATGAATGCTTGCCCCCCTTACTTTTGTAAATGTACATTTAAAAAAATTGTGTAAGCCACTCCAAGCCTTTGAGAAGTACAACAGAATTTGGATCAGATACATTTAGGGTTAGGGTTTTTTCCCAGATAGGAGAGAATGGCAACCATTCTGTCCTATGTGAGAAAATTAAGGGATTCACCATTGAGATGGGGACTAAATTTGCTCCTTACCATCCCTGAAGAATCAAACCTATTTTAATATGCACAACCCTATCCTTGGTTCAGTTTCTCGCTCATACCAGAGTGTGATGAAACTGTTTGCTGCTAGTTTTCAACATGCACAGATGCTTAATAGCTTATGGGGCTGGACCCAACCTAGATAGCAATGTGGTTTTAATTGTGCTATGCTGTGTTGCTTTTCCACCAGGTGGGCTCTCAGCGCTTCAGTGTCAACATGCCTCATAAGTTCAGCATCCACAATTACAAAGTGCCCACTTTCTGTGACCACTGTGGTTCATTGCTCTGGGGTCTTCTGAGACAAGGTTTACAATGCAAAGGTAAGGGCGTGCTCTCTTTTTCAGAGCTTGTGTTTTCTCTCCAGTCAAGGCAAAATGAAATTTCCTTCTGTTAGGGTTTTTTAGTTTTTGTTTTCTCATCATCGCGGCCAACTTACGGCGACCCCATAGAGTTTTCAATGCAAGAGATGTGCAGAGGTGGTTTGCCATTTCCTGGCTCTGCATAGCGACCCTGGTATTCCTTCATGGTCTCCCAACCAATGCTCCCTCTAAGCTGTGGTGTCTTGTGGGCAAAAATTCTTCTTTCTGAGCTACTGGCATTAAAGTTGTGAGCAGGTGATTTGGCTACTGCATAAATTAGTTTGCTCTGGAGCCATCCTTCCTGAGCTAAGACAAAAATGTGTGAGCCGGAGGCTAAAAAACTGTGAGCTAGCTCACAGTAACTCAGCTTAGAGGGAACACTGCTCCCAACCCTGTTTAGCTTCTGAGATCTAACAAGGTCAGGCTTCCTGGGCTATCCAGGTCAGGGCCCTTCTGCTAGTACAACACAATAAATGCAATTCTGGAACAATATAGACCCCCCCCCTTCAGATAAAAGTATTAAGCCTAATCCAAAATATGATTAAGTTTACTTAAACTCACTGAAATATCTGGTTTGGATCCAATGAACCACAAATCTCCTGTGTAGCCCCCTATGCGTCCACCCCAAAGCTGCTCCTGAGCACTCGATAATCTCTGTCCACAACAGCGTTATATGAGTCATGGGTTAAAACAGGAAGGGGGGAATTGACAGAAATCCCACACCATAAGCAGTCCTTTTTCTCATGCAAGGACAAGTAAAGATCAAAAGCATGGGGCTCAAGCATACTTAACTATTAGATTGTGGTTGAAGTTTTAAATAAAACTACAGTGAGGCAATGAACAAGTTACGGTCTTAGCCACTATCTTAACCACCAGTGAAACATGCTTCTTGAGTGGATCTGTTTTAACAGCTAAATGTTAGATGAGCCAGATTAAACCGCCTTACCCTTGAAAGCTCGGTTTCATGAACTGTAGTGCTACTTATCATTTTATATAGCCCACCCATTCATCATTTACCTACTAGTAGTATTTCATTTATTTATTTAAGTGGTTCATTTTTAAAGTCCATCTTTCTATATAAAACCCCCAATATGGCTTCAAATCTCTGGACAAAAAACAGTAGGCGAATATGATTTACAATTTTTATTATATTTACCCTTTCAGTAAACCTGTGATATAGGGCACTGCTGTTCCCATTTTACAGTTGGGGAAATGAGGCTACACACAGTGAGCACATAACATACATAGACTTTTAAGTGAGATCTCCCACTTCCAAATTAACTTTTCTGCATCCACTGCGTTATACCAAGCCAAACACCTACCATTCCAAGCATCTACCTTACTTTATATAGTTCCGAATATAACTGTACCCTAAGTTTTGTTTCATTATACCTGGGCTGCAACATTCTTTTGAATTCTAAATGCCAGCCACAAGCACGGCCGGCCCGAGGGGTTTCTGCGCCCTAGGCCAGGCTGCCTCGTGGCGCCCCCCTAAGATGCCAACCTCCCGGTGGGGCCTGAAAACGTCCCAGCTGGGTCCCAGCAGCAGGGCCGGCCGAGAGAGGGCTCCGTTCCCCACTGCCACCTCCTGCCTGCCCGCCCACCCACCCAGGGGGCCTCTCTGACCCAGAGCCACCGCTTGGCCCAAGCCCTTCCCGCAGTCCCCGGCAAGGAAGCGGCCTGCCGGCAGCGGGGATTGGCAGCAAGTGCTGCCAGTGGTGCTGGGCGGGCCAGGCAGGGGCAAGCCTCTCTCCCTCCCTGCGCATGCCTTTCCTCTCCAGAGTGCCTTTCCTCTCCCCACGCCGCCGCTTACCTGCCTCGGAGAAGCGGAAGGTGCGCAGGAAGGCCAGGCACTCAGGCCAGCGGCGAGGGCAAAGCAGTGGAAGAAAAGCTCAAATTCAGCCGGTGCCAGTGAACTCGGTCAGCAGCACCAGTGAGCCCCGCAAGCGCCCCGCCACCGGCGGCCCCATCCCTGTCCACTTCAACTCGCTGCACCCAGGGCACTCTTCCACTTGGGAAGGGGGTGGGCGGGCATGCTCCAGAGGCCCCACACCGCCTTCCACCGCGGTGAAAGGAGCAGCGGGCGGCTTTGGGCAGGGTGGGGGCTTTTGGCGGGGGGCGGCAGGGGAATAGGCGCCCTGCTAGTATCTCCACCCTAGGTGAGATACTAGCAGGCCTAGTGATAGGGCCGGCCCTGGCCACTAGTTGGTAGTGATGCCAGCATCACATATTTTGGACCAGTTCTGCAGGAGACTGAGTAAAACTCAAAATCCTGGATGTTGGTGTCAAATTTCTCAGAGTTATAGTAACCAGGCTTGTGGCATTTTTTGAAGTCAGAACTCAAACTTGAAGTAGCTGGTTCCTTGCACTTGGCCATCTCCTTGATTGGAGTGGCATTTGTCTGAAAATAGCAATACACATTGTATGTAATTCATTCGTTTTATAGTATTTTTTCTGTGTTCTCTTTTTCATAATGTAGCTGTGAGGATGAGTTTTAAGGGGGAGATCTGTGTATGGGGTGAGAGGGGCTGCTTAAGTGTTTCACTCTGAGGTATTGCCCTATTGAAAATGGCTATGCTTAAGCCCTCTTTTTCTGGGCGGGCGGGGGGGAACTGACAAGCACTTATTTTCCCAAAGAGACTCCAAAACAACTGTGGCACGTGTAGTGGAAAATAAGGAGAGGGGAAAGTGTTAAAAAAGGGCTTCATCGACTCTTTAAACTATAACCCCACTGGCTGCTCTGGGGCTGTGTTCAGTAAAAGGAAAAAAAAGAAAGAAAAGGGCATTTATAAAAAGAATAATGGAATGTAACATAACATGTGGTTCTGCTCTGAAATAGCAACCATGTGGAAAAACTGAAAAGTTACTAAATCTGAGTAGTGGACCTGTACATTTATTTTTAATATCTGTGTTCTGTGTCTGTGGCAAACAACAGCCCCAGAATATTACAGAAAGAACAGGATACATTGAAATTGTAGGCAACAGCCGCTGTCATCCACATTGGCGTTTTCAATTCTTGGCAGTACCGTAGTGATGCCTCCCTATCTCCTTATGTTCAGTTAATTAGGTTGCTTATAATTTCCCCCCATTTTGATTTATGATGCTTTGAGAACGTGCAAAGTTGTACCACTGTGGGCAGTCTCAGAGCTCAAAGTTCTGTTATATCCATTTTTAAACTAGAGTGTACATATTCGCAGCCACCCCCCAAGATGCTAATCAGATGTGGCCAAAATCTTCTTAACAGAAAATGTGATGAACTTGGGACCTTCTGTGTGTTAAGCACGTACTCTACCACTGAGTCCCTCCCCAATAATAAAGCATTCTCTGTTGTCAAATAAGACCACATAGAACTAAAGCTGTGATATTATTGGACAATCTAACAGTTAGAACATAAGAACATAAGAGAAGCCAATGTTGGATCAGGCCAGTGGCCCATCCAGTTCAACACTCTATCACACAGTGGCCAAAAATACCAGGTGCCATCAGGAGGTCCAGCAGTGGGGCCAGGACACTAGAAGCCCTCCCACTGTTGCCCCCCCCCCACGCACCAAGAATACAGTGTATCACTTGCCCCAGACCGAGAGTTCCTATCTATACCTCTTGGCTAATAGCCACCGATAGACCTCTGTTCCATATGTTTATCTAATTAGTTTATCTAGTTAGTTTCAAATTCAAACCAAGTATTATCTGCTTGCCAGCAAGTCTCCAAGGCTTGAGGCTAAGATTTATCCAGCCTTGCTACCTGAAACACTTTAACTGGAGATACCAAGGACTTGACTTAGGACTTCTAGCATGCAGAGCATGTGTTCTACCAAAAAACTGTGGCCCTTCTCAGTTAGGCAGCCCCAATCATATACATTAGCAGCACTAAATGACACATTTTAAACACCACTGCAAAATCATCATCATCTCTCCTTATATATAATTATGTAGTGGCGTGGCACTTTCAGAACATTCCACACGCTCCTAGTTGGCTTCATGATATGTCACTCAGAAGCTGTCCCTATCCACTGGCTGCGTTGCCTAAGTCCCATGCACAGAAGCGGCGCCCGCCCAAACCATCAGCCATTGGCCTGTCAGCCGCCACTCAAAAGTACTCAAATGCCATTGGCAGAGTGCTGAGTCTGCTCCTCTTCCCCACCCACTCCCACTTCAGTCATTATTCCCTGTCAGAATTACTGGCAAACGGCTCTCTCTCCTGACGAAGACACTTCTCCTGCTTGGCTCCTCTGTGGCTTTTGGTAGGCAACCAAGCTTGGCTCTGTCAGTAAAAAGACAAAGAAATGAAGCCCTTTCCAGGCCTTTGTGAGGAACTCATTGGGGCCAGTCCTGACTAGGGTTGCCAGCTCCAGGTTGGAAAATTCCTAGATATTCTGTGTCTAAGGAAGCCAGTCTAAGGAAGCCAGAGTTTAGGGAGGGGACTCAGCTGAACAGAATGCCATAGATCCCACCATCCAAAGCAGTTATTTTCTCGGGGGGGGGGAGAGATCTGGAGTTCAGTTGTGATACCTGGTGATCTTCAGGCTCCGCCTGGAGGTTGGCTACCCTAGGCATAGCAGTTAGCGCTTCAGAGCAGGGTCTGCAACATAACCCCATCCCCCGCCCACTGCCAGCTTGGCCACTTTCCTGTCAGAATAAGAACGGCTGTCTCTCCTGCTTGGCTCTGCCATGGCTGGCTGGCTACTGAGGTGGGCCAGCAGATGTCAAACCATCCAACCCCTTGCTGTGTGGCTGACTTTCCCTTAGGGTTCCCAATCTCCCGGTAGGACCTGGAGATCTCCCACTGTTACAGTTAATCTCCAGATAACAGAGATTAGTTGCCCTGGAGAAAATGGCTGCTTTGGAGGGTAGACCCTATGGTATTATACCCTGCTGAGTCCTTCCCTAACACTGCTCTCCACAGGATCTGCCCCCCAAATCTCCAGATATTTCCCTACTCAGAGCGGGCAACCCTACTTTCC